TAGGTTCTCATATTAGTTCTTAAGTACACCCAGTTTGGCATTCCAGTGCCCTATTTTGGTTAATTTTGTCTACCTCTTCTACCATTTCCAAAACGTTGGGTTAAACAATTCAGTTGTCAACCGAGAGGAGCTGGCTAATTAACCAGTCAGAATTTTAGTAGCCGGAGACGAGCCAACCTTGATTAAAGCATTAGGTCACCAGTTACTAAACACTGGGCACCAAACAGGTATTCAGACAGGGACTAAACCTTTTTACGTATGACCGAACAGGAGTCCTAAGCAAACATCATCCGCAGGAGGACTTGCCCTTCCTTGGGTGAAAAAAGATACGCTCTTTCTCTTTTCGGATTTAGTCTAGAAGACAAATAGACACGGGGATCTTTTAAAAGGCCTTTTGTGGTCACGAGGGATCAAAGGTGCAGCACGGGGAATATAGTCACTGGGATTAGTGTGCCAGACCTAGTGAGCTTGTGAGCACAGCATAAGGCATGAAGTTGTGGAACCACTATGTTCTACGCCTGTCAACTAAACTTAAGGCAAAAAATAAAAATAAAATAGAATAGAATAGAATTAAAATACAATACGATACAATACAATGCAATAAAATAAAAACAAAATAAAATAACACGCCCTGGGTGGGGATGAAGGGGGTCAAAAGGTATAAGCTTCCGGTTACAAAACAAGTTAAGTCCTGGGGATGTAATGTACAGCATGGCCACTATCGTTAATAATAGTGTGCTGTGTATTTGAAAGTTGCTAAAAGAGGAGATTTTAGAAGTCCTCCTCACACAAAAACTTTTTTTGTAACTGTGTATGGCGATGCATGTTAACTAGCCTTCCTGTGGTGGTCACTTCAGAATATACACAAATATCGAATCATTATGTCGTACCCCAGACACTAATACAATGTTGTGTTTCCATTACACCGCAATTTTTTAAAAAGGGCCGATATTTATCTCACTGCCGATTTTAATTAGGCGATTTTTTTTTTTTTTGGTAAGATAGCAATAAAACTAAAAACTAAAACTCTGAAGGAAAGCATTGCAAATGAAACATTTTTATCAGTCAATGGCCCAATGTGCAAAATACCCCCAACATTTCTTTCTTGTTCTTTGATAGTATTTTGTTTTATTTATTTTTTTTATTTTTCAATGTTTATTTATTTTTGAGAGAGACAGGGTGAGCAGGGAAGGGGGCGAGAGAGAGGGGTCAGAGAATCCGAAGCGGGCTCTATGCTGACAGCACATGGCTCAATATGGGGCTCAAACTCACGAACCGTGAGATCACAACCTAAGCCGACGTCTGACGCTCAACCAACTGAGCCACCCAGGCGCCCCTACCCCCAACATTTCTTAAAACTCCCACTCCAGGGCCTTATCTCTTGGGTCCATTTCTCTGGGCCACCAGTGCGTTCCCACGTTCTGCCGCGTGTTGTGACAGCCACCAGGTTAGGAAGCAGTGAAATGGGCCCGAGTGAAGAAGGTCCTTACCTGACTGCACAACTCGAGGTTCTGGGAGTACACGGCAATCTGTCGTCTCGGCTGCTCTTCCTCCGACAGGTAGCTGGCCAGGAGGATGAGGACGTCAAAACCGAACTTGTCTGCAAATGCTTTCAAGTCGCTGCTGATATTGCTGTGAAACATACAGTTCTGAAACAACAACAGGCAATTTGATATTAATGCCAACTGCCTGGCTTTGGGGAGTTGTGCCACCAATCTGTCCGGCGTTGCGATATTTCGTGACAGATACTCATTATCAGACGCAAGCAAGATGGTCACACAAGCTTGCAAACTCTCGTGCTCGGGCTTAAAATGACTTTTGCTTGTTTGTTTTCCTAACCCGGGAAAGGAAGGAGTCTTGGCCCTTATTAAGGTAGTTCAGACAAGGAACAAATATCTTAACAGGGTTTTTTTCCCCTAAAATATTTCTTTGAATGTTAACTTTGTAAAAACTACTTTTCCTTGTATTGTTCATAGGATGTAGGAAAGGCTGCTGTTATTGCAACCTATCCCTAGAAACATAGGAGGAAGTTGTTGTTCTTTATTTGTAATTGTTTCCCAATGATTATTACAACGCCAAGAAGAATCCCTAAGGATGAATCTAGCTGAGTTAATGGTATGCTTTTTATTCCAGGGTAGAAGTCTGGGAGATTTATGGAAGGACTCTGACGTCACATCTTCTTGCTCTAAGAGGCAGCTAAGAAGGAATGAATAATTGTAGAAAAGGAATGAATAATTGTGCTACAGAGCACCCAGACCTGTGGCTCACATCACCTTCAAAAATGTGCCGGTCTCTTTGAGGTTTATGAACTGCAGTGACGACGACTTTGTTGGCAGAGTCGTCTCTCTTTCTTAAAGAAGAGCAGTAAAGACCGTCGGTTAGGCATAATGCCTGGCACATACGAGCTGCTCAGAAAAATGTTTTTGAACGACTAGAGAGACTTACCCACAAAATCTGCCTTTGCTACATAAACCTCTATCCAGCATATATATTCGATCATCATATACAGTCTGTTGCGCTACTCAGTGAAAATCACCACCACGTGCACTCAAGAGATACAAAGGACTCTGTTGATTTCTGTTCTGTTACAAAAGTCATCAGCACTATGCAAGCCACTGGCAAAGTATCAAAGCAATGCAGAAATACATAGCATCAGAAGTGAAAGAGCCAGGCACCCCCTCCTCAGCCACTTAGGGAGAGCTAGGCAGGGCACCGCACGTAGGTGCAGGTATTTTCCGCACCCAGATTACTGTTTGTATGTGGTAGCTTCTCGAAACTAGTGGATTTCATATTTGTGCCTCAGATTATTTACCAGCTGCTTAGAATATCTGTAGCGCATGTAATCTGTAATTCTGCTGAGTTGAATCTCAAGGTCTCTGAGGCCCCTGAGAGGCCACATGAGACACCTGCCAGATGTGCTGGCCCAGCCCGTCACCAGCGTCGGCACCTCAAGGAATGTTTGTTGTCTCCTTCTGTGGCAGCCGGCTCTCTAGGCATCTCACCAGACCATTTCACTTTTTGGTCACAAAGCATTGCACAGGGGAACTCACAAAGCTCTCAGGATATATTGTTGCCGAACACTAAAGATCTGTTGTACCGACTGGGTAATGAAATTCATGATGTTCAAATACAACAGCTTTTGGAAACATGGGTATCCAAAAGCATAGTGTCAGTTCCCATGCTTTTTATTTATTGTCCAAGTGTCATGATAACAGTCTTTAAACAGAAACTTAAAAAAAGTCCACTCACTCACAATAGAAGTAAATATTTAAGATATTTTTTAAAGTTGCACCTCCTATTATACACAATGTACATTCAATAGATGAAATTATTTCAGATCATCATTATCCCTCAAGACAACCTCCACACTGAGCTTTCTGCCATCAAGAATTATAAAAGCAGACGTTGGGGTGCCTGGATGGCTCAGTCAGTCAAGCAGCTGACTCTTGATTTTGACTCAGGTCATGATCTCACGGTTTGTGAGTTCCGCGCTGACAGCAGGGAGCCTGCTTGGGATTCTCTCTCTCTTCCTCTGTCTCTGCCCCCTCCTGCATCCTCCAGACTGAAGGCTTTGGCCAAAAAGCTCAACAATTTTCCTTTCAAAATATTTTTTTCACTGTGTACATAAAATCCCCCATATGCAGTTATAAACCCTTGAAAGAAGGTCCAACATTTCGAAGAGATTTTCACATTTCCTAACAACTGTCACAAGACTCCCAGCTAGGTCATTTGAACAAAAGAAGGCAGGTTTTACCGGTATCCGAGCACAAGATTAGGATTCATTACATTCAGCATTATTCAAAGCCATACTTGTGGAACATTTGCTATTCAAAACTATTGGCTGAGCTTCAATCTGTTTGGATTCTTCTGTGTGAAAATGACGGCTCTGGGATCTTGCTGGACTCAAGTCCAACAGCATTGTCAACACCAGCATCTTGTTAAAATGCAGAGGCTGGGGCCATCCCCCAGACTTACTGAAACAGAAACTGCATTTTCCAAAAAATCCTGGGGGATTCAAACGTACATCAGAAATGGGAAAGCAATTTCAAGAAGGGAGGCATTTGTTCACCGATACTGTTTCCTATGAGCATCTATCTGTGGATCCTTTCAATGTTGTCATTTTACTGGGACTTTTACTAACTCACACCATCGGCTCCTGGTTCCTCACACCACTTTCAACATAAAAGTCACCCCAGGAAGGGGGGTGTATTTCTGAGCCACTTTGTGGCAAGTTCTTATTTATTGGGTCCAGTATTGGGTCTCAGATCCTCTATTATGTACCTCAAGAGGTTCTTAGGATCAAGCTCCATGGGGTGACACTCTCTCAGTTTTCCTCTGGGTGGCCCCCAAATCCATACGATCAAGGATTGAAAAAAAAAATAAAGCAAAGATTTATGAGACTCCCTTAGGCACGTTGCATGTTACAGTATCTCCAGAACAAAGATCATCAACGACTGTGTCCTACCTACCCTCATAGAACTGTCCAAACCAGAGTGGATCTTCCTGGCGTTAAGATGTCAGGAGGATCGTGTTTAAAACAGAATCAAACGAGGGAATGAGTGAGAATCCTCAGGAATGTGGGAGGCAGAATCTGTTCTGCTTTTATGCCGGTGCTGTTTGCATAGGAGATAATTTATTATTGTCTTCTAGCTACGCAGGGAGTCATGTGCTGTGACGGCTCTTATGTTGCTGACAAGCTAGGCTGGCCCTGAATAAATAGCACTTTATCATCAACACAACCCAACTGTAGATACAGGTTGGCATTTTGTTCCCCCCCCATCTGCCTTCTACCTGATAAATTACTGTTTTAGTTACATGTATACAAATACTATTTGTTAATTGGCTCAAATGTCTCCAAAATGTCTCCTTCACCTTAAGTTAAATTATATACATGTACATAGGTATAGCTCACTCGGTTTGCCAAAGGTTTAGAAAATAAAGAGCTCCTACCTTAACTTACCACCCGCGCCCCACCACACGACCTCCCACGTTTGCAGTATGACCCCCAGCCTGAGACTGCAACATGGAATTTACAAAGGTACTTTACTAATCATTAAGGCTGCAAACTGACTGGCAAAAACCCAGCCTATTCCAGTACATCAGCTAGGGACAAGGAGAAGCCCTCCTGCTCGTCATCTTTGCCACTCATGGGTCCAAAGATTCGATCATTAAACATTTTTAGAGGGCGTGAGTCCTTTTGCCCGAGTGTTTTCCAGTTTGGGAATGAGTAGGAAGACCGGGAAACGTGGGGAGAAAAAGGTTTTATTATTTCCCAGCCAAAAGCTAGGGTGAGGTTGTTGTTCCCGATGACCAAGCACAGGGAAACAGAAATGCCACGGCTCTCCTGTAACATGACAACCGAGAGAGTGACGGTGAAGTGTCCAAGAGATTGACTACATTTGTGGTTGAAAGTTCGCAGACAAACGCAGTGGAAAATGCCATTCCCTCCCAAAACCCTGATTTAGCTTTTTCCATCGCTCTGAAAAATTCAGTGTACATGCTCCATGCTGATAGCTAGAGTGCATGATGTGAAATAAAGGTGATCCAAGTCATGTTCAGGAAACACCTGAGTACTTAAATGTGGATATTCCTTGAGAGAGAAAAACTCACTCTTGTTACATTGCTTCTGTATTCCTACCTTCTGTTGTCTCCTGGATCCCGCTGTCGGGTTTCTGCCTCCATCATTCCCTTGAAACCGCCCTTCTCAAAAGTACCAATCGCTTCCAAGGTGCAAAATCCGAAAGTCGGCTTCCTGTTCCGACTCTATACGACTTCTCTGAGGAATTCCACGAGGTTGATCCTCCCTCCTTCTTGAAACACTTCATTCCTTTACTCTCCCGCCCTCACATTCTCCTCGGTCTTCTCCCAGCGCCTCGCTACTCCTCTGTCACCTTTGCTGGCTCCTCGTCTTTTTCAACCTCTAAATGTTCATGCCTCAGATTGTGTTTCCACACCTCTTTCTCTTATCTCTACGTTCTCTTTGGGGATCTCATCCAGCTGCACGATTTTCACACCACCTGTCTGCCAGTGACAACAAGCTTCATCCACCTGAACTCCACCCTTGTCGATCCACATGGTATTTCCACGTAAATGTCTAATAAGCGTCTCAAATAAAATGAAACCTATCTCCACCCCATATCATAATGATATCCTCCATATCATTAAATGGCCCCACCATGCACCCAATTACTTATAATCAGTCCTTCCTGCAGCATCAAAAGGGAGCTTTTAAAAATGTAAACAGAGGGGTGTGTGGGTGGCTCAGTCAGTTAAGCGACCAATTTCGGCTCTGGTCATGATCTTGTGGTCCGTGAGTTCAAACCCCACATCAGTCTCTGTGCTGGCAGCTCAGAACCTGGAGCCTGCTTCATATTCTGTCTCTCTCTCTCTCTCTCTCTCTCTGCCCCTCCCCTGCTCATGTTCTGTCTCTCTCAAAAATAAACATTAAAAAAATTTTTTTTAAATGTAAACAGAATCACGACACTTCTCTGCTTAAATGCCACTCAAAAGTTTCTCAATGCAATTATTATTATTTACTATCGTTTTTTAAATGGGGAGGAGATAGTTTTACTGTCCTCAAAATTGGGTTATTATAAATCAGTGAGAAAAAGTAAACATGGCCATAGAAAAACAATTGGACATAAGACATTCACAATTGAAATACAAATGCCAATAAATATCTGAACTCATTGAGAATCAAAGAAATCCTTTGATAATAAAATATTTCATCTTCTCTTTTCTTATTATTGGTAAATAGTTCCAAAGGGGCATTCTCATATACTATTGGAAATATATTCTTTTTTATTTTTTTATTTTTTTTACATTTATTTATTTTTGAGAGACAGAGGGAGACAGAGCACAAATGGGGGCGGGGCAAAGAAAGAGGGAGACACAGAATCCAAAGCAGGCTCCAGGCTCCGAGCTGTCAGCAAAGAGCCCGACATGGGCTCGAACTCACGAACCACAAGATCGTGACCTGAGCTGAAGTCGGACGCTCAACTGACTGAATCACCCAGGTGCCCCAGAAATATATTCTAAAGAAATAATCAGATATACACACAAAAGGTTTGTGGACAACGCTATTCACTGGATCATTACCTTACTAACTAAAACTTTGAAATGACCTAAATGTTCAACAATAGAGAAATGGTTAAATTAATTATGAAAGAGTCGCACAAAAGAATAGTATGCTGCTATTCAAAATCATGCTATCAAAGAATACTTAATGACACAAGAAAACACTCAAGAGTGTAAAAGCAGAAAATAATTTCTGTAACATATCAAAATAGAATGTCATTTCTCTATGCATTCAAATCATGCATATTGAAATCTAATATACAATGGATATTAAGACACCCTGATGTGAAAGCTGTCATAATTTAGCCAACTGCCCAATTAAAATCTGTCTGTGTCTCTGTTATTTCAGAGTGTTCCCCCCAAAGATACCAGTAAAGGCTCCGGAGTCACCAGACATGAGCTGACCCTCTCTCCACTATTCATCAGTAGTGAGTGAGTGCGTTTACTTTATTCACTTCTCCAAGCTTTAGTTTCTTCAT